CATTCATCGAGCTGTATCATGTTCTAACCAACGCAACGAGTTTTATATTTTAAGGAGACTTTAAATATAGAATTTTTAAGCTTAAAGACTCGTTTTACATTGCTATACCACAATCTATACTATTATATAAAAATCTAATGGTGTCTGTATGTGTATTACTAATAGGTGCAAAAACTACTGAACCAACTGGGCTTCAATTTTACAAAAATATAACTACCATACCAAGGACCATTATAGGACTATTCACATTTCGATACTGACCGTAGGCTTTGCCCCTTTGGCTTTAAACGTTCTAAAGTGAACATTTTAAAAGTAAATATTGATTGGTCTCCATGGCTGTGATGAGAACACTAACAATGTTTGTTTACATTTGCTTTGACATTTAAACATAAACAAGAAGAACTGCTAAACTGCATATTTCACAATTTCAGACAGCTGATACAAAGAAATTAAATATAATATTTTCTATAAATATGAGGTAGGTTTATTTTAATCTAACATTTTACCATGGATTATTTATTCTTAAACTATGTCAATGATTAAAGAAAAAAAAAAGATTTTATAACCGTTGCTGTAACAACTCCGGCTCTGCTTTGGATTTTTTTTAAGCGTCTTAATTTAATAATCTTAAATGAAAATAATGTTATTGATATGTTTTCATGGAAACAGTATGAAAATTACAATGTAGCCTATAGATGTTTTGTATGAATTTGGAAACTACTTTAAATAAATTCTAACTGCTTCACATGTGTTAGATTAACTTAACATAACTTGCACATCACATTGTTTTTTAAATGTATATTTATGTAAATTAAGTTATTGTGTTTTGCTAAACCTATGCTTAAATTAAACTAAAAAAATATCATCAATAACTAAATTGTCGTTTATTTTTGTTTTCTAAAATCTGTTGTATATCTGTAACTATATTTAATTATCAAATGGTAATACAAAATACTCTTATTTTATCTTAACATAGCTTTCAGTTCACATTTACTTTATTTGATACATTTATTATTTGTGTTTTTCCACACCACTGATTAAATTAAACCAAGGAAAATATCATAAAACTAAAACTAAGCAGTACACAGTGTTCTTTTATTTATAAAAATCAATGAAATATCTATTACTATGTTTTCTTAAAGGTAAGTGTGAACATGCAAAGGCAATGGACGATGGAACTAATTAAAAGAACTGGTTTGTATATTGAGTTGTTTGTTGATATTTTTGTATAGTAGAATCAGAGATGCAATGAAACATATACTGTATTTGCTATTTCATTTTTTAGTCCTTGATGATTTGATAATCATATTAGTTTTGCCTGCTGTCTTTAATGCTAAATTATTTATTTGAAATTTTTTATAGTACCTATAGATATAGTTTCTTTAATATTTCAAAAGACTGTATTGATAAGGCACAGCAATATTTCTAAAGTTTATAACAGCTGACTTAGTTTTGCTAATGATTTATTGTGTGTGAAAAAACTGAAAGGATTTGTAATTTAATATAAAGAAGAGTTTAATATAAATATAAAGATATCTATTTAAATTTAATAATTAGTATTTTTGCAACTTCAAAATGTCAATAATAAATTAAAAGATGTGTAATTAAGGGAGATGAATGTAAATCTGGTAAATCATGTATGTCATCGTTTTACTCGAAGATTTGGTCAGTTTTTCTCATATCCTACACAAGATTTAAAATTAATCAAAACCAAAATGGTGGTATCCACTACTTACCAGATTTAAAAGTCATAACTTAAACGTTTCTATTAAGGCCATAAAAGTTGAATTTTGTTTCTAAAAGCGTTGGCGGATACAACTGTAACTATTATATGCAAGAGATAAAAATTAAAATGTTTCTATTTTGTGTCCTCTTCCCGTTGCAAAGCACGGGTACAACAGCTAGTATATAATATATATATATATTTTCAATCGAAACAGATTCAAACCTTAAAGCTTCCTTAAAGTAATTTCAACATTCAACAAAACTACCAGGCGAAAATCGATTCGATTCAAATTAAATCGTTACAATTTATGATGACGGTATTGTCAAATGGGGAGCGAGCTGGCGTAGTGGTTAGAGCGCGGGAATTCAGTCCCTGAGGTCCCGGGTTCGATCCCCGCCAAGTCACCAATGGATTTTATCTAAGTGATAATGCCGCAACCCCTAGGTCTAACCTGAAGTAATGTGAAAAACAATCCCAGGCTCGTGCCTAGCGTCCTAGGAGAAAAAAACCAGGCGAAAATGTATTGTCCTTTGATTATACTCAGTTCAAACTGAGAGATTCGTTTTGTTTCGAATAAACAGCAACAAATCAAACTGTTTTAAAATCGGCTTTGTTTGACCTACATACTATAGTTAAACTGTTAGAGTGATAATGAAAACTAAATTCAACCACTGTTAATCGCTATTCTAAACATTGATCCCAGCGTCTGTAAATGTTTGTGTCTAATTTTGCTTGCCTAGTGCTATCAATAGACAGTTGTGAGTTTTGAATAACCCGATAGTGTTCTTGAACAAACCAATCAAGAGTATATATGTTTGGGTTTTAAATCTATGGGATTCTATGGTTAAATACAAGATAACTGATAATAAAATTATTCTCTTAGTAATTTTATTTTTTCCAAAAGACAACCAGAGTGACGTGTGTGCTCTCTTAATAACAACAATTAAAAAATATCTCTTTATGGTGAGATTTACACTTTATGGAAATCCACAATACCTAATGCAGATAACCTTTATAAACATGTTTAAAATTTATCGTTAAAATCAGAAAGAAAACTATGTTATTTAATTTTTTCTCTCTTTATTGTGTTAGGTTATCTTTCAAAATTGTAAAATTTTATCGGGCTATTTTAGATGTATACAATTTAAATACTGAATAAGACCGTCTTTAACTCCTTAAAGACAAGGATCTTTGACTCCTTAATACTGATGATTAATCAAAGGTATTTCCTTTAATTAATTACCTTTGAAGGCTACGTAGTCATGAAGTGGAATAGCAATAAAACGTCTTATCATAATATAAAAGATGCTATATTTAGAGTTGCAAAGCATTTGAATCGATATAGTAAAAGTATCTAACAGTAAAAATGTTGTAAATTGTCGCAGGAAAGTGAAAGTATAAACAAAATAAAAGAACGCCGATGTTGTCACCTATAAGCTACAAGTGGCGGGCCTCGCCATATGGATCTAATAAAACAGCTCGTTGAAAGGCAAATCGGGGGCTGTTTTCGAAGTCATATTTATGAGAAAGAGAAGAATATTTTTACTGAAGCTGGACGACTTGTTGTAGATACATTTTATAAGCGATAGTAATATTTATAGTTTTTACTTCATCAGGTACAACTTCATTTTCTGTTTTGAGCTCAATAAATAAATTCCACGATTAAATTTTAACTGTGACTAACATAATTGGAATATTGTGTTCAAAGTATTTTTAAACTTCTGGGCTAACCTACCGGGTAGACCTAGGTTCAGGACCACAACTCACGTCGGTCCACAGAATCTAGCAACGCTATTAATTTACTGTATACAGTATAACTATCCACAATGCTATCCTCCCATTTAATTTCAATGGTCTAGAAAATAAGTAATTTTTTGCAAGTTTGATTGATATGTTTCTCGTTCCAGCAAACCCAAGTGCTTGGAAATGTCTATTACACGGTGCGGCCGTACCATGCGTTCATTTTTGTGTAACATCAATTTTACTCTGAAATTAAAAAAAACTCAAGGTTGGCTGTGGCAAAATTGTTTGTAAATTTACTGGATCGTGCAAATAAAAAAACAACCCTGCAATACACTTTTTACTATAATCATACCACATTTAATAGTAGCCTATATTACGTTACTAGTCCTGAAAATAAGTGTTTACCGGACGAGTGTGGTCGTTCCCGCGCTATCCCGTGCGAGACGAAGTCGAGTACGGGATTACCATACGAGTCCGGTACACACATTTTGGACGAGTTACGTACGATAGTTTACCCCATACTACTTAATCTGTACAAATCATTATTTATTTCCACCAACTAAAGGACTAAAAATCACTAGTCAGAACCTCTAAGTGAGGTTATATTTTTGTTCATAACCACTCATTGCCACGCAAATACGGTATAATCAGCTGATTGGTGTCCGGTAAAACTCATTGCAGAACAGTAGTACGCAATGAAACCCCATTTGAATAACATGGTGGCGAACAGCTGTTTTCTAGACTAAATACTTACGTGGGAAAATCGTCAAAATAATGTAGTGTGGCGTAAAAAAAATAATAAGTCAGACAATTTAGATAAAGAATGGTAAATAGTTATGTGATATTCATAAATGGAATGTTAGTTATTCAACTAAATATAAATCCTTGTACGGTTTTGCATGTCAGTACATCATGTGTTACATTACGCGATATTTTAAGTAATCAATTGTACATAGTAAACTGGTAATTATTGTAACCACGAGTGGACGTCGACATGATTAATTCATCGAGTGAGGTATGAGCAACGATTATATTAATTCCTAAACACACTTCATCTCACGATGTTGATTGACCAAACAGCAATATATTACTTCCTTGCTGTTACAACTTCATTGTGTAATCTCTCATACGACCATGATTACTACAAAGTTTGTACTGTATATCACTAAGATATTCATACACAGCTTTTTATAATCATCAGCTTATCAAGTTGACGCTATGCTTAGCTTAGTAAGGCTGTTTATTGTCTGGTTAAACTAATTATGCCTGAATAATTAGGTTAATTGTGCATGAAATATTGTTAGAGTATGACAATAACAGCTGGTGTTTTGGCATTACGCATGGTTTTACATGATAGTAAATTTCCGAAATATATCTGTTACAATTTCTCAGATAAGCTCATCAATAAAGAATCAATCTTGAGAAAGAAGTCACTTTAAATTATAGATGTATGTGTTAGGTGTTGGACGGATATTGCTCTATGTAAACTGACAGGAGATGAAGGGAAGGATAACAGGGTATGTTGTTACAGGCCAAGCATGCTGGCGAAGGGGGACGAAATATTCCAGGTAAATGAATCAGTTTAACAAACACTTTATCAAACTGACACATCATAAGTTCACCAGTGATTTTGCTTTTTTCGAGTTATTTAAGGTTCCAACTTTAATCTTGTTGGAAGAGTAAAAATAAGTAAAAAGTTCATTCGTACCTTTAGATGTCTGAAACCAACGACTCGTTTCACAAGTTGGCATGATTTGTTTTGTAGTTTAGTTATTCGCAGAATGTGTCCGATTTGTCATCTAAGTTTTTATTTTTATTTTTATATTTTGTACTTATTACTTTCTTTGGCCTCTTTTGTAACATATAATTCTGCAGTATTTAGGTTCCATCTTGATTCTTGTTGGAAGAGTAAAAATAAGTAAAACGTTCATTCGTACCTTTAGATGTGTGAAACCAACGGCTCGTTTCACAAGTTGTCATGATTTTTGTTGTTGTTTAGTTATTCGCAGAATGTGTCCGACTTGTCATCTGAGTTTCTTTTATTTTTATATTTTGTACTTATTACTTGATTTGATCTCTTTTTGTAACATGTTCTGCAGTATTTAGGTTCCATCTTTAATCTTGTTGGAAGAGTAAAAATAAGTAAAAAGTTCATTCGTACCTTTAGATGTGTGAAACCAACGGCTCGTTTCACAAGTTGGCATGATTTTTTTTGTAGTTTAGTTATTCGCAGAATGTGTCCGACTTGTCATCTAAGTTTCTTTTATTTTTATATTTTGTACTTATTACTTTCTTTGATCTCTTTTTGTAACATATAATTCTAAGTTCTCTAGTATTTAGGTTCCATCTTGATTCTTGTTGGAAGAGTAAAAATAAGTAAAAAGTTTTCTTGTACCTGTAGATATGTCTGAACCAACGACTCGTTTCACAAGTTGGCATGATTTGTTTTGTCGTTTAGCTATTTGCTGAATGTGTCCAACGTGTCATCTGGGTTTCTTTTATTTTTATATTTTTGTACTTATTAGTTGCTTTGTTCTGTTGGTGTAATATAACTCTAATATAAATTTGAAATAAAAACTTCACTAATACTTCTAAATTTTTAATTCCATGAGGCCTTTCGCCAGCTATGCATCAGACACATCACAAATTGTACATACACAAAAAAGTTTTGTGATGTGTCTAATGATGCCAGCATAGCTGGCAAAAGGCCTCATGAAATTAAAAATTCAGAAATATTGGTGAAGTTTTTATTTCAAATTTATATTAATTCCAATATTACCAGTTCTTCTTGAAGATATAATTCTAAGTTCTGCAGTATTTAACCTAATGAACTAGTACCCGTGAGTCTTACGTATTTTTACTGTATCCCTATTATAGATGTAGGCTGCAATTGTAAGTTATGTTACCTTATAATTATGACTTTAAGACATTTCACTGTTATTCCCGACTTACAAAAGGGAATGACAATGGCGCTCATATACGCCTTCAGGTAGTCGTAAACTGTAAACGTACTGTGTCTATGACTGTGATCTGAAACCATACTATGTAATTGCTATAGTGACGCTAAAGTATAAATTGCTCAATAGGATAACATTGTCATGTTTTTATTATCTTCCTCCCTACTGAAACTGCTCAAGAAGCTAAACATGAGGTTAAACGACATTAGTTCCAGAGTAATTTGATATAACAGCCCTTGGAAGTGCTCAAGTCGCGGTGCTTGACGGCAATTTCGTTTCTTTCTAAGGGTAAACACAAGTAAATGGGTTACGTTAAGGACTTCTATGCATTTCATGTAATTTAAAAGTCTTTGATTATTGTACTTTGTGAGAACCCATTGTGAGCATTCTTTTTCCAATTTTTTGGTATGGTTCACTCAAAACCCTGTCACCTATTTTAAAACGTTTTTATTAGGTCGCTTTCTTGTCCGCTACAAATTTTGCAACCGATTTTATACTAACTTCCCGATGAGCTAGGGCCTTGAAACTTGAAACATATCTCACAAATGGAAGACAATGCAATATTATACAATTTAATTTTCATATTTCCCTTGGGCTACGCCCCATGGGCTTGTTTTTATTAAATCGATTTCTTGCAAATTTTGATACTTCCCGATGAGCTAGAGACTTGAAATTTGAAACATAGCTCACAAATGGATGACATTGCAATATTATATCATTTAATTTTCATATTTCCTTTCGGGCTACGCCCCATGGGCTTGTTTTTATTAGCTCGCTTTCCTACAAATTTTGATATCAATTTTAAACGATGTTCCCGATAAGCTAGAGACTTGGAATTTGAAACATAGCTCACAAATGCATGACAATGCAATATTATATCATTTAATTTTCATATTTCCCTTGGGCTACGCCCCATGGGCTTCCAAATTTTTCATGTTTACATTTTGAAAGGATGTAAATATATCAACTAATTTAAGTCAGCTGTAAATACTTAAATTTGACAGTTCGAAGAGCAGAGGTTAAGAGATACAGGTTATGCTCCCAAGAGATTCTTTATACAAACAAACATTTCAAAATAAAGATAAACAATCTGATTGCAGGTATCAAGGTGTTTGTAAATAATGTCAATTTATGTTTATTTAGTATTCTATAAAGTAAACAATAAATATTTCGAGTGAACGCATTGCAGAGAAGTACTATATTTCAGAAACATTGCGATTAAATAGATTGATATATTTATAGTTAGTAGGTAGGCCATACATGCAATCTAATACATAATTATATGCAAATAAACTCAAATAAACCTTAGATTTCCCACATGCCTCTGTCTTAAAGATGCTTGAAATAGATTTAACATGCACACACATTAAAACTAAAAAGTATAAAATAATTTATAAATAAAAAACTTTTTAAACAAAACGTTTTTAAACGCCCTAAAAAGTAGAAAATAATTTACAAATAATTTATAAATATGTTGAGAGAGTATAAATACTTGTACGATTTAAAACGAAAAACGTTGGGTGCATGCAATTAATTGATAATAATACATTAGTTCAGTAGGTGAAGGTAATTGTAAACTATCTATTGCATGCACCCCACGTTTTTCGTTTTAAATCGTACAAGTATTTATACTCTCTCAACATATTTATAAATTATTTGTAAATTATTTTCTACTTTTTAGGGCGTTTAAAAACGTTTTGTTTAAAAAAGTTTTTTATTTATAAATTATTTATATTGGTGCCAAAATTATATCTGTTGTCTATTCGTAGGAGACCCTTTTCAATGCCAAATCTAAGTGACTAAAAAAACATAAACCCCGTTTTACTTTTGAAACTGGAAAAATAGCCAATTTATTTCAATTCTCAAGAATCACTAAATAATATGATTAGTTTAATGTACAACTTACAACTCTGGGCATGATTGTATATAGAGTTGAGTTTCTGCCTCTACTGAATCACACAGATATTTTCTGGACAACTCAAGATTTCACAAACTGTCATTCTGGAGTTGTAGAGCTATTTATACCCTCTGGATCCTGGAGCTGAGCCAAGCAAGGCGACAAGAGTGACATTTGGCACGGAAGTGTTTATAATTGTCGAGTCATATCTTCGCGTCGTGTGAAGTGCAACGCACTCCTCAAATCCACTTGACAACATCTGACGATAACCAATCTCGAATTATCTTTTAGTTTTTTAGTCCTTGGATTGGAATGGTACATTTATTTTTATTTTATGTCCCATTGTCACATCCTAGGACGCTAAGCTTTGGTCCAAAACAGTTTTACACATTAATATTATTAGGCCCAAAGGTTCGCGATATTATCACTTATCACTTAATATAAAAGCCATTAGGGTTTGGCGGGATTTGAGCCCGGTACCTCGAGGACCTAAGCTCCGAGACCTACCACTAGACCAGATCGACCCCACCCCCTCACCAGTTTTAATAATAGTAAGACTTCTAAACGAATACAATATGTTTTGGATCATAAAAATCATAAATTGCATGTTATTCATTTTCATAGATTGGGTAAATTTCCATTTAGAGTAGAAGTTATTACAGTAGGTGTTGTTTGTTTATGTATTTTGGTAAAATTTATCACATAAATATATTTTATACCTACTATACTGTTAACGTTTTACCAAAATATCTTTAATCTTTCCCTGTAACAGTAAACCTAAGTACTCGTTAAACATAATGATATCGAAGTAATAGAATAAATTTGCCTTTTTTTAAGGGAATACTTAAGTAAAAATCTAATCAGACAAAAGTAAATTTTCATAGTCTGCAGGTTTGCTGCGTCGGGGGGGTATTACAATTTGGCTTAGCGTGCACGCTGCGTTACCACCTCCATATTAGTGTCTTTCTATTAGGAATTGATTCAACATATTCATTTTCTAACTTTTAGTATCACATATATAAAAACTATCAGTATTTGTTGGGGTTTGAACCTGGGGACTTTTGCCCTAGCACTAGACCAGCTAGCCTCTCAGTTTATTTAGTAGTAAGTAGTCTTAAAGAAAAACAAAATTTTTGGGACATTTAAACTATTTTAACCGTAACAATAAAAGTGAAAATTTAATTTGATTCGCATTCATTAATTTTTTGTCCAGAAGGAACCATTTGAGAATGTACTCAAATTACGTATGGTATTTTTAGGTATCGACATTGACACGGTTACAATATATTCCTCTGATTTTTCAAAAAATCCGTTTTATACAAATTAATAACGGGTTTAAAATTTTAAACGCTAAGGTGTAGGTACGACAGTGCCGTTTTGTTAACAAAGACCGTTCACACCCTTAGCACGTCGTGTCATAATTTTCATTCAATGAGGACGTTAACGCAAAACGCCTCCGTGGAAGTTGGATGTAACTTTGATAACGCGAGAGAGTAGACGTGGCAGATAGCAGGCTGACTGGACAGAGAACGCGATCCTCTGTGTGATAACTTTATGATCCTGTGCGGTAGGACGACTCTGGACACTAGAAAACTATAGCTATAGCCCAATATCTGTGTATATAATAGCAATATAGTTAATATGCTCGCAACCAATTCAGTGTCACCTAGTCGCATTGAATACTTTTTTGTAAAGGACAAACGCAGAGTTTTGT